TTAGATTGGATATTAGGAAAAAATTCTTGACTGAAAGCGCTGTCAATCATTGGAACTGGCTGCCCAGGGAAGCGGTGGAGTCACCGTCCCCAAGAGGTGTAGATGTGGTGCTTAGGGACACGGTTTAGGGGTGGACTTGGCAGTGCTAGGTTAGCAGTTGGACTGGATGATCTTAAAGGTCTTTTCCAACCAAAACAACTCTATGATTCTATTCCATTCTACGCCCAGTTGCTGCTGCTGAACGTACCAGGGGCCTTAATGCAGATCTCCAGCTGTGCACACCTCGGAAGGGTTACACATGCGTCAGCCTCTCCCAGGGACTGACAAACCCTCAGCTTCTGCATTCAAGTAGACTTAGGCATACCTGAACTTTCTTAGGGGCCAGACTCAAGGCCATACCCAACACTGAGTCACAGGAAGATACTAAAACACATCAGTCTTTACTTTTGAATCAAAAAGGGATTTAAGACAATAACGCTGCTGGGAACCAGGCACGGAGCCACAGAATGAGATTGGGTCCAGTGACCTCCGCCCTCCCACCCCGAGTGCGCTGCAGAGTGTCTTTAGTCACAGTACCGGGAGGACACAAGATGAAGTTTCTTCATAACCTAGATGTGTTCTATTAGAAGCAAGTTTTGATTCATCTATTTGATGTTAAAATAAATGCGTGCATCGAAGCAGCTAATGGAGTTAGCCCTTTCAGCATCAGCAGTTCTTGATATTTAAAAAGCATTCTGTCATTCTGGATGTCTGACAAAACAAATCAGAAGTACTGTGAACAGGTAGAATGATTACACCTGCAAAAATAATTTAGATAATGATTCAGGTTTACCTGGGTATTATGATACAGCTTTATTCACGTAATACTTAAATTCTTACTTGTTTCACAAACAAAACCCAATGTAAATATACACTGTTGTATCACAGACTACAAGACTCTTAATTCTCTTGTGTATTTCAACTAAGGAACCATATACGATGCAACGGAAGTTATTTCCAAGGCTTTCACATTCATATTACCCTTGATCTGAGACGGAACCTTCTGCTGCTATGAAAAGGACCGCAGCTGCTGAAACCAGACAGCACGCCAGGCTGCTCTTCCCGGCACAGAGCCACTAGAAGCCAGCTGGGTCTCTACGCACCTGGCTCAAACACCACGCTTGTACACCTCAGAAAGGTGAGGACCAGGGAATCGATCAGTGGGCAAGAATAAGCAGAGCTCAGAAACTAGTTGTTATTTGGCTTTTTATCTGTAACAAAATTCCAAGGATGCACACACCCATCTTAAGAGTTACATGTCATTTATAGTTTTTCTCCTCTCCACGCTCATCCTACATTCAGCACACTACCAGTTCCAAAGTTTTTAATATCTTACATCTGAGTTTGATGCAGCAAATGTTTTTTTTTTCATAAAAACCCTACAATGTTGAGTTTAAAAAAATATTTGAAAAACATCTAATATTAAACTCTGGTTCACTATGCAAACAATCCTTTTTAATGATTACAAAATTCCTATTTCAGGCACTTCATGACAATATCATTAAAATATCCTGTTTTATTGCTCTACACAGAATAATATTCCACCCTAAGTTTTCAAGGCACAATTTCTACATGTAGTTATTTGCAATGACAAAGTTTTTTAAAAAAATAAATCGCATTACAAACGTTTATAAGCTCTCTTTAAAAAGCAAAGGTAGTCTTCTGTAAAGCATTAATTTTACATCAGCTACATTCTAATAGCAGTTTATAGGAAGTTCATAACACAATGTCCAACTATTCTCTCATATCCTCATACTCGATCACAATTTGGGTTTTTGTAATATTTCAATGGCAATTCTGCCAAGTGTTAAAGTGCCAAGAGCTTGTGCCAATGTTATTTACAGCCATGACCATAAAAAAAACCCTTCCAAAATTAGGACTACTGTAGTCTGTCCGTAATTATTTCTTCCTGAACTCATCAAAGGCTGCAGTATTCAAATGTCAACACTGCGATGAAATCTTTAAGAATGCTCACTAATGAGAAAAGCTCTAAGCATTCCTTTTTGCTGTTGAAATCAATTGACTGAATTATTATCAAGGAGGTTTTAATTTTTAATGTCAGACTTCAGTTTATGGATAGACAGCTGAAGTGTATTCAAGTAGCAGCTCGACTCCTGGCATAACTATAGTCACAAAGGAAAAAGAAGGAAGAAGGTGGGCATGGGCTGCCGACACCATGGTTTCTTAGAAGAGGCAAATGCCCTCACATTTCTGAGCAGAAAACAAAACTTGTTCAAGAAGCTCGGCTGCTTAAACTTAAGAACACTGTATCATCTCGGTTGACAACTCCTTTCCCCAGAAGGCAGGAAGAAGCAACATTCACTGTTACTCCATTCAGTATTCTCAGTTCTTAAAGCAATACTTGTTATGAGATGGGTCTTCTAGAATTATAGACTTTAACACCATTCTGCATGGAGGAGCGAGCGTATTTTGTCAGAAGAGCACCAACTGTCTGCTTCTCCGCACATAGGTCTCTAAAGAGGAAATAAAAGCAGACGACATTGGCATTAGAGATATTCTCATACAAAATGAATCCGTGAAATACTTGTAAATGTTGCAATAAACTGGATTAGGGGACTGGGAGAAAAAAAACCCCAAACTACTGTAACTATCATGTTAACGCTTTAAATTACCTAAAGTTTAGAACTTGGCTTGACATTAAAGCAACAGGCAAAACTACATTATTTACTTCAGAAACAAGGATTTTGGTTTTTAGGAGGAGTTGGCTGGGTTTTGTTATTCCTGTTCTGTAAAGGGTTTTCAATCTAGCAAAAGTTAGCTTTGAATTACTTATATTACAGTAAATTTAGAGCCACTCAAAGGTTTGATGCAGTTACTTCTGGGTTACCACCTGCATCTGCTGACACGTATCCTGGCTGGGTATTCCAGGTAGTGCTGGAGTGTGAGTGTTAAGCACCAAAAGAACAACGGAGGCAGGACGGGAAGCGCTACTGCTCTGTGGTGTTAATACGGAGACTGACCCTAAGTGTCAGGAGGTTTATCCTTTTAAGTCTGGCTCAAGCAAATAAGACAGAGTTATCACTCATTTAAATTCAGTAGGATCAGCTTTTTACACAAGTTTAAATCCAACAAACGTGGCTACAGTTCCCAGGGGTGGGGATTCTATTCACAGAGAATTCGTATTCGTTTAAAATGGAAAAGTATAGTATTTGAGGTAATCACAGCTGATAAGAAGTCAGCTATGCAAAAACGGAAAAATATAACACTATTTATATTTTAATAAAAAGAAATATATCCTTACTGTATATAAGGGGTAATATCCTCTTCTGTCCACTTTTCCCGTATGCTGAATAAGCTGTTGAATCTTTCCTGATTGTCTTCAGGTAAGTCTTCTACTTTTAGCAGAAAGATGGTCTCTGGCCTTGAGCTTTTATCCACAAGAGCCAAGCCCTGTAGATCAGCATCAGAGAGAAAACATTGTAAAGACAAAACAATTAAACTTCCTTCTTTCTGGCAATAATCCATACAAGTTGCCCTTTGAATGTCCAAAGCCGCCTAAAACTGCACTACTAGAGGCAAAGTGAAAAAGTATCACAAAGGCGCTGTTTTACAGGCCGTATTTATCATTTTCTTTATGATAATGAGGGAGGGGGAAATCCAATGCGTTCCAACATGTCTCTGCCTCCTTTGAGCAGAAGGATTTCCATAGTGCTTGCGCTACTCTGCTGGCTGTCACTACAATTGGCTTGACAATAGCTTCATAGTTAGAAGTATTAACTGTAAAGCTGCAACTTTTCTTCAGACTCACAGGAAACTGGATTGTCACGATTCCAGTCTACTCATGCTCATAGAAGATGTCGTAAGCAGTACTTTAACTCAAAAGCTGACAGAAATAACACAATCAGTACTCATTAATTGATGATCTACATATGACACAAGTTCAGTTAACAGCCTACTCACAAAAGAATCTGTACTACTTTGTGTTTTTACCTTAAGCTGATTAAGCCTTGTTGTCATCCCTTCAGGGACACTTTGTTGCCAGACTTCTTGAAACTCTGAGAGATTGAATTTAACTGCATTTTGCAAAAGCATTTGTGCTATAGCTCTGCATATTTTGTCTTCGTGCATTTCAAAGTAAACGTCCCCTGCTGAGAAACATAAAACAGGTTATCTTGGGTTCTTGCTTTTTGATAAAAGAACAGAGAACAGCCTCATATTTTCACTCCGTTCTACAGTCTTCTACAAACCAAGTATCCTGTTTTTTCTTCTCCTCGGGGAGTAACCTGACTTCGTATTACTTTGGATAAATGACATTATCTTCTCATTCTCAAGAACGCATCAAGTGGAATATTACGTGTGTGTGCTACATTATTCATTCATATCAATATATGTATTTGGCTCCCATCTTTTCCCCTTTCACAGTAACAGTTTCTCCTACAGCCTCCACTCCTATTTCGGAATGGCTTGTATTAAGGTGTTTGCTATTAAGGTGTTTGTCTGTGGTTGAACAATTACACATTTTCACTTCCTTCATCATCTTTATAATGTGAGATGATGAAGGGAATAATGAGAATTTATTTTCTTTCACAGGCTAAAATTCTCTGAACAACATCAGGCATAAACACTTCCTTCCACTTTTTCAGTCATCTGAACTTACTGCAATTCAAACTTATTCCTTGTGCAACCTCCCTAAATATACTAAGATGACAATCTGTGTCACTCCAACTACTTTCCTATGTTCTTTAAGGTCAAGTGCAACTCCTCCTTCAGCCAAAGGTGAGATGAAAGCAACTGTGGGGAAGAATTCAGATTGAGGTTAAGGCACTGAAACAGGGTATCTATATGCGAGATGGGCAACAGAGATTTGATTGATACAATCAGTGGATCTTGTGGTGCAGTTCAAGGGACCAAAGGCAGATGACTTCAGGCAAGCTGAGTTCAGGGAGATCTACACGTCACTGACTATTCACAATAGCACCATTAATTGCTTAAACAGCTGAGACCTCCCAGGGTATCTAAAGAGAAATCCCACCTAAATTTTACTAGTCATCTGTCTTTGGTCACAACATTATGGCTGTAGACACCTAATAAATCACTTCAGGTATCTCTGAAAGTTCCTGGGTCTTCCCTAGATTCTTGTACAGTTTAATAGTCCTTTTCACTATGAAACTTCCTCTAACAATTTTACTGATTTTTAGCTCATGGTTTGCTCCCTCCTTTTGCTGGCATTGTAGTAAATTCATTTGTTTGAGCTATCCTCACAAAATCTGCCTTTACTCATGAATAACTATTTCCTTTATGCAAAATTAAAATATGCGTGCTTTCCTAAACTTACCATCATCAATGTATTTCCTTCCATAGCTTCGAAGAACATGTTCTATCATCTCTCTGAGGAAAAAAAAAATACACCAGAAATCAAGGTTTAAAACTATTTATTAGGACATTACAGGAACAGTTACCGAGAAGATGATAAAGAAACAGGTAAAGTAAAAAAAAAAAAATCAAGGAGAATGGAGGATGGCTGAAATGAACAAATTGAGTAAAACTTAGAAGCAAGCTAGAAAAGAACAAAAGGGGACAAAAAGAACAGATGAGAGTTATGTCAGCATGTCCTCCCCAAAAGTCTCTTCCACTTTTGAGTTATAACTAGCAAAGACTAAAAGGCATAAGGAGAATAAGGAAAAGAGACTCTTGCAATGTCACTTCTTTCCAATGAGAAGTGATGCAAGTCACGAATTTGGCAGTTGATTGTCCCTTGCTGAATAGCAGGCATTTTTCTAGACCTCCAGCATAAAATTCGAACCTAACTGCAGACACTAATAGTAAAGCAAGATTTCTTTTTGAGCCGAAAGCCAAATAAACGGAAAACCCTACATATTGTAAACTTGTTTGAATGGTAATCTTAAATTATTAATGGCAGTACAATAAACTCGACTCTTAAGGTCTGAATTCCATATTAGACCAGAAAACACACCACCATCTCAGACATTAAGCAAGAGGTAAAATAAACATTTTTGGCTAGCTTCAGAACAAGTATTTCAAGATGGTCAGCAATTCACGGCTAAGTACGTACTGCTTCCATCATTTACAATTCCGCAGTAATGTTTCCACTATTGAATGAATGGAAATATTACCAATAGACACTAAAATCAGTTTACTAACCTGTCTAAACTACTAATGCCCTTGTATATTTTAGGACCAAAGAAAAGATATCGTTAACACCATGGTAACAGGAATCTAGAGTTATAAGGCTACAATCCTAATAAAAAAATTAATGATTAATTAGTAATAGTTAATGATTAATAATGATTTTAGACAATTTCAAATACCAAAATTAATTGCTTACGTGGGCTCTAGAGATCCAAGTTCCTCAAGGCAGGTACGTAAAGGAACCTTACTTAACGACCAGGACTCTGAGTCTATTAGCTGAGTCACATGATTCAAGAGTTTCATCTCATAGTCAAATTCTAGAATTCTCCAATATCCTGCCAAATAGAAAACCACAAAACAATGTTAGAAGGAAAACATTAACACTATTCCCCTGAAGATACATTACAGGAGTCTGGATATCTACGTCACCCCTTTACAAAGTACAGCAACACCATTCTGTCATTTTCAGGAATAAAGCTGAGAAAAAGAACAGAATAGTAAGAGCAAATGTAAAGGAGAAAGAAATTAAACTATCTCAATTATTCATAACTGTTTAGGTGCCTCTCCCCTTCTACTCCACTCTTGTGAGACCTGACCTCAAGTACTGCATCCAGCTCTGGGGGCCCCAGTACAAGGACATGGGCCTGTTGGAGCAAGTCCAGAGGAGGCCACAAAGATGATCAGAGGGCTGGAGCACCTCTCCTGTGAGGACAGGCTGAGAGAGTTGGGATTGTTTAGCCTGGAGAAGAGAAGGCTCCAGGGAGACCTTCTAGCAGCCTTCCAGTACCTGAAAGGGGCCTACAGGAAAGCTGGAGAGGGACTGTTTTCAAGGGCATGGAGTGATAGGACAAGGGGTAAAGGGCTTAAGCTGAAGGAAGGTAGATTTAGACTAGATGTTAGGAAGAAATTCTTCCCTGTGAGGGTGGTGAGGCACTGGAACAGTTTCCCAGAGAAGTTGTGGATGCCCCATCCCTGGAAGTGTTCAAGGCCAGGCTGGATGGGGCTTTGGGCGACGTGGTCTAGTGGAGGGTGTCCCTGCCCATGGCAGGGGGGTTGGAACTAGATGATCTTTAAGGTCCCTTCCAACCCAAACTGTTCTAGGATTCTATATAGATTAACAGCCACAGATACATAGGCACTACAAATCCCATTCCAAGATGAATCAGACTTGGAAAAACTAGTAATTCAGACACAGAACTGCATGAACAGAACTATCTGCACTGGCTCTGTGAAGTGGCAGTTCAGGTCCAGCCAAGTTCACAGAAATCCAGAAGTGATGAAGCACAGATCTGGTACAACGGTGCTGTGGAGCTGTAAACAACAAGGAAAGTCATCTGTGAGATTGTCCTCACCTGACTAATGGGACAGTATAGAGAATACAGAGCAGAAGTCTTCCCAGTGGTGCTCAGTGATGGGACAGGAGGCAACAAGCACAAGTTGCAATGAGGGAAATCCCAGCTGAGTATGAGGAGAATTTTTTTCTCATTGTGGATGGTCGAACACCGCTACAGCCTGGACAGAGGCTGTGCAATCTCCATCCTTGGAAATGCTCAGAACTCAACCAGCTGAGGCCCTGAGCTGTCAGCTCCAAGCTGGCCCTGTCCTAAAGCAGGGTGTGAGAAACCGAACTGTAAGAACTTTTGTCTCAAAGATCGCTTTGCTCAAGCGGGAAACCCCTCCAGCTACTGAGTGTGATAAGGACAATAAGGATGATTGCCAGGTCGTAGAGACTTTCAACCTGCGAAAAACGCCTTGCCGGGTCATGCACCACAAGTCAGGTAACAGTCGCGTGAAGAACAGGGCTGGAACTGCAAGAAGTGTGTACGCATGTGCAGGAACGTGGAGCCCTGTTGTACGTGCCATCGTGAGGACCGCCACCAGTAAAAAAGGGGACTGCCAAGATGAGGGTGGTGTGCCTTTGCCCACTGCTGCAGAACAAGAGATTTGGACTCTCCCAAGATGGACCCCCGAGACGCTGTGGACCCGTGCCTTCGTCCACCGTCGCAGAACGAGAGATTTGGATACCCCCCCCACACCAAGACACTGTGGATCCATGGCGGTGACTATTCTTGCGATTCTATCCCGGAGTCTTGCTTGGTTTTCTGCCTTTCTTTTCTGCCCTGTCCTATCGATCTTATTGGTTACCTTTACCTTTTCTTTTTTTAACTCTTTTCATAATAAAACTGTTTCTGGTATACGGCATTTGACCTCGTTTGTGTCTTAATCTTGCTCTTAGGATCGTATCGAAACCTCCCCAACATTGGATCGGGACACAGGGGTTCAGATCTGATAGCCTCCAGAGCTCAGTTCTGCCCTGTATTATTCCATGGCTCTAGGACTGCTGTCACCTGGCGCCCAGGTGAGGGTTTGGGCTTGGCCAGGTAGGACCTGTCCCAAGGTGAGGCACTTGCTCACACAGCTGGAAGACTTCCGAGATAAACCCAGTCCAGGAAGAAAAAGGACTATGAAAGGGCTGGGGTTACCTAAGGATCAGCTATTTTTGTCTCTAGAACTGCTGAAAGCAGTACCCACTCATCCATGAAGAGGGCAACCAGCCAAAAAATATTCATGTTGTGGGTGGGACACTCTGATGCCAGCGTTTGTAGAAGCAAAGAAGGAATTACCCTGGAAAGAGTCAGACTGGTCAATGCCTGCTCAGTTTTATCTTTTTGATCAGCTTCATAGCAGCAGAGGATATAGGAAATACAGAAGCAGATCTTAGCACTTTGAAGTAACTTGCACCTTGAAAGATGAGGATGGAACAGGCCTCAGAAAAAGGAGACACAGATATTTTGGGGAAAAAAAAAGCAGAGTTATTTCTCATAGGCAACAATATTCTTTAGAAACAAATACCTTCAATTTTGCAGGCATCTATAACCTGCAGTTGGTGCAATATTTCTTCTTCACTTGCTTGAATCAAGCTGAACAAATCTTCTGTTGTATACTGCAACCAGGGAAAAAGAGAAGGGAATAAAACAAGTTATCCTTACTCCTCTCCTCTGCTTCAGCAAGCATGCTAAATGCATTATAAGATATAATGAAAGAAAGACTTAGAAGATTGGTGTTTTTATCCCCAGACTCTGAATTTTCTAAGCTTTACCACACTCTCTGAAACTTCTCCTGTAACTTACAACATTTTCTCAAAGGGTTATTCAATATAAACACCAGTCTAACTACAGGGAAGTCTTTGTGCCATGCCTAGGTAATATACCTCTACTCTCAGGACGTCAAACTAGCACAAGTAGACATCATAAATAAAGTAACAGAACAAGAAGGAAAAGTGAATGTGTACTGTCTTTTCTAAATCACGTATTTTGATCTATGAGATTCAAAGACAAGGCAAAACAAAAATCACTCATCACTTTTGGCTAAGCCAGAAGTCAGAACTCCAACTTAATACCTCCCCTGAGATAAAGCCTCCTCCAGCATGCCCTCGACAGTTACGTGTTGTGGTCTGGTGTGTGCTAACCAATTAGCAGACATGTAGCACAGACCCAGCAGCAGTACATACAGCTTCCTGCAGAACAGTTACTTGGTGAGATGGGAGGGTGCTATAGATACTGTGGTAAAGACTCATGAGACATGGGAGGAACAGAAGGTATCACGAGGAGTGAAGTAAAGGGAAGGAACACTAGACTTAAATTCATAGGAAACAGGACTTTATCAATTCCTTTATTCACCTTACAGCCTTTTTAATCAACTCTAATATTAGAGTTTTGTTGATTATAGGGTAAAAATATTTCCTATCAGAAAAGAAACAAAATGGTTTAAGTACTTGAGATCTATTAGACTATGGGAACACAAATGGAACAAACCAACACCAAGTTTGGAACATCTGTGTGCTAAAAAAGTAGTTAATAAATACAGAAAAGTCCCCTCTTCTTGCTATGCCATTCCTATTAGACAGTACATTGAAACATCATCAGGCTAAGCAGCACTGAACTCACATCAGTATTTCAGCAAGGGATGACTATATTATACAGTACTTTAAAAAACACCGCTAGCAATTTAGAGCAAGTATATCCCCAGATCAGTATGCAAATGTGTTTGCAAGTTAGATACTGCCATTCAGATAAAACCCTGCACAGGAGTCCTTGGCATTTGTTCCCTCTCTGAGGCCTGGCTAGCACTCCAACAGCTTGTTTAAGAAATCACTGCTCTCAGCTATGATGCTTTTATCAGCTGCACCACCCTTGAAAACATAAAATGGAATGGGCTGACTTGCATCATGTCCATACCAGAAAATTCCAAATAAGGATAAGAAACTTATTAAACACTGATTCAGGCACATTCAATCATTTGAATACGTTTTGTCATCTCACTGTAAAAACCAAGATTTTAATTTGGTGCATCCTGAGCAAGCTGTGTATTAGCCTATTTCTGAGCTTTCCTGTAGTTTGTAAATCACATCACCATGCACCAGGCTTCCTTACAGTAATTCTTTATAGTGCTAGAGTTCTTTCTGGTTCCTTTCCTGTATTTCTCTGTGTATGATACAGTACAAACAACTGAAAACCACAAGAAGTTTACAGTAAGCCACCAAAACATAGTAATTTGTTTTCAAACAGATTAAAGGTGGTTTATTAGTTGCCAGCACCCAATAAATATTAAGTAGTAAGCGAACAACACAGCAAAATTTTTTACTACACATGTATTGTTTGGGATTCCAGTAAGAATCAGTCCCACAGGACAGAGAGCTTTCCCATGGAGACCTTTCAGATTAAAGTTCCACCAGTAGCATAGCTAAGATTCGTCTACATTTATCAGATATATCTAGTTTTTCTCCCGTAAGCCAATACATGAAACATTCTCCTTCAAAACAAACCGAGATCAGTCCCCAAACTAGGCACTAATGTTTGGGGAGACACTTGACGTGTCTTTACAAAATTAATTTAATATTATCAGTAAACACTATTGCATATGACATCTTTTTGTGTTACTAGCCTTTGTAAATGCTTATAATTTCTGGACAATTTAAGCCCCTTTCCATTACCAATTAGATCCTAAATTGGATTTCCCGGAAACATAAAAGGACAGCAGGACAAGACTTTATTTGTGTTTTCCCTTCTTGTACTGTCAGTCTTATCCTCTCCTTTGTATCGTCCTCTGCAACTCCCTGCTTCTCCTCGTCATCATTAATTACTGTATGCAAGTGTCCTGTGACTCGGTGGAAGTGCTAATAATTACCAACTTGTTTAGAATAGTAGGCTTAAAAAAATTAACTCGAAGCAACATTGTGAAACATGGGAGCAACGGCATTTTTCTACTTAAAAGTGTATCTTCACTTTAATTTGCCCATTACCAATTACAAGAAAGTAATTCATATAGCTGATTTACCTTTGAAAATGTCAAAGACTGATCTTTCCGACTATCTGGCCCTTCATATGGATCTTCCATTAAAAGCTTCCTCAGTTTCTTCAGTTTCGGTCGGCATCTCCTTAATTCCCAATAGTTATTGGAGAAGCCAGCAATCTACAAGAAAAAACAGTTACTCTTAAAATATTTTAATCTACCATTTGGATTCAAAGAAGCTTACAAAATTTATCAGCAAAAAGTGTTAATCTAGTTACTGAGAAAAGAATGTATTAATAGGGTAATTACTTTAAAGATGAAACAATCATTGTAATATTTTCAATAAAAAAAAAATTACTGCAGGCAACAAAGAATAAAAAAACACTGTTGGTTGATAAAAATACATTCGTAGTGCATATGACAAAGGGAACAACTCACCTCTATGCACAAATGATAGATACATTCCTGTGCAATCCTCATCAACATTTCTTTTCCTCTTAATACAAAGTTGTATTACTGCCATAAACCCCCCCATATGATCCCATTTCCATCTTCCCCACTTCTTCCCATGCTTGGGATGTGCTTTGTGGTCTTTTTACACATTAATGAATCATCATATCACTAAGCTCAAGCAAAACAGACATTAACGAGACAGTAAGTTACACATAACTAACAAGACATCTCTATTCCTTACTGGAGTCAAGACATAAATTGTATACTGTTAGTGGAGTCAAGACATAAAGTGTGCAACAGGAGCTCAGGTGTAATTGATACAATAGCATTAATCTAATAAAACTTTACCTCTAGAGTAGTCCTGAGGTGTTTTGTGGGGTACAGCTTGGAATTCCTAGAAGATTCTTTAAAGCCTTTCAGCATTGTTTCTACTATTTACCAAACCAAAAGAAGTGGGTACAGAATGGCAGAGGCAGAAAAGGCTCTAGGTTTCTGACTCCTGATCCAACCACTAGTCTTTTGTAAAAAAGCCTCCATGAAAAAGCCTCCAGACAGTACTTTAAAATACCCTAAATGCTTTATCATAATACTTTTATTTTTGTTTTGTTAAGGTCATCTGGTAAAAAACTTTAAAATGTTCCATTTAAATCAACTATAAGCAAACCACCTATATGTAAAAGTCTTATACAAATTCTACAAATTCTCATACAGCTAAAGTTCTTAGTTTTTAACCTAACTATTCCATAGGTTGCTTGGGCAAAATTCAGGTAAATACTAATTTCCTGACAAACTTCTAAGGGTTTTTTTCCCCCTCCATGTCAAACAGCATTTACCTAAGAGTTAGGCTTTTTTTCCTGCCAAGTTCTTTTCTGAGCAATTTGGTAATGAACAGGAAAGTACTCTGCATAGAAAAGAAACTAAATCATTCTAATTTATAATCCAAAGCTTATATCTGAATTGGTTTGTGTGAGATTAAAAAAATAGCAGATGCTTTGGCTGTATTAGCCTCACAAGCGGTATGAAGAACAGCACCGAGACTGCAGAAGGGCAGTGAAGCCCCATATCTTTTGCTATGTTTCACAATTTGCAGTGTCAATACATTATGTAATGATTTTGAAAACATTAAGAAAGCTCTTAGAAATAAAACTCTAAAAATAATTCCTAAGCAAATAACATGTAGTGAGTTTGCATGGCAAGGTTTTGGACAGCGGAGGGGCGGGGGGCTACATGGGTGGCTTCTGTGAGAAGCTGCTAGAAGCTTTCTCCATGTCGAACAGAGCCAGGGCCAGCAGCGCCAAGACAGACCCACCGCTGGCCAAGGCCGAGCCCATCAGCAGTGGTGGTAGTGCCTCTGGGGTTACATAGTTAAGGGGGAAAAATGGCTGTGCAGCAGCAGCCAGAGAGAGGAGTGAGGAGGTGTGAGAGGAACAGCCCTGCAGACACCGAGGTCAGTGCAGAAGGAGGGGGAGGAGGTGCTCCAGGCACCGGAGCAGATTCCCCTGCAGCAGACCATGGTGAGGCAGGCTGTCCCCCTGCAGCCCATGGAGGGTGATGGTGGAGCCCTGCCCAAGTCACCAGTCTGGTGTCACACATGAAGCACCTCAAAGGAGCTGATTTCCCTGCCCAGATGGACAGCTGGGAGGGGATGTGTGAGCTGGTCACAGAGTTGTGGGCATGCCTCTCCTGCTGTCCAGGAGATGACTCTGACACCAGCCAGGCCTTCCAGCTGCAGCAAAACCTGCTCTGCAACAGACTCCTGCAGATCTGTGATGAGCATACGGCCAAGCCTGGGTTCTGCCTGACACATGCTTCCAGCATGGTGGCTCTGGCTGAGCTGGTGTGCCATAGCTACCTGACTGCCGTGCTGCAGCCTGCTCCCCTCTACCTGGAGAGGATCCTCTAGCATGGACCGAGCTCCACAGTGCTTGCGGCCCTGCTTGTGTGCCTCTGCCCAGGCGCTGCTTCGTGGATCCCCTGGCTGGCGAGGTAACAAAAATAAACTTATTCTTTGCGTTTCATCCATGGTTTTGAGGTTGTTCTGCATCCTGCCTGTGCCAGCTCACACATCACATTTATATTATGCTGACATGTGTGACTTCAGAGGACTAGTGAGATCATTAAACATAGTAAAACTCTTTTATATTATTTTTTTTTGTTTTCTCATTCATCTACTTTGGTTTGAATAAACTTTTTTCGAACTGCTGACTTCACGGAAGAAATTATGTTGGTTTGATTACTATGTTCATCTAAGGACCAGCGGGATTATTCCTCAATGATGTCATTATATCCATTACAGCAAGTAATGGCCTAGTAATAATATTTGCCTAACTATTTTTATTAGAATTGTATTAACTGTGCTTCAGAAGAGCAGAGAACAATCAATTCTTTAAACTGAGCACTCCAAAATCATTCACTCCAACAAATCTTTCCAGACACTAGTTGAAAGAGTCACCTTTGAATATATTTCTGTATTTAAAAAAAAAATAGTATTCAGGCATGACATAGTATAATCTGTCTTTTGGGAAAAGCACTCCTAAAAATCAATTTGCAGCTTACTTTAAAAATAGCTGCTAACATTGAGAAATTAGATTTTCTTTGAAAACTTTTAATACCTACTACAAGCAATTACTATCCACCGAAAATAAACTAAAGTTTTAACTTTGTAGAAATAATAATTATCATACATTACGGATAAAGTTCAGTTGCCTAAACAAGGGCCCTAGAGCCATTTTGGATGCCCTAAGGTACAGCGTGTCCCCTGTGTATAAAGCATATTTATAAAGACATCCTCCTGGGGCTGTTCAATATACAAAGAAACTACAGGAGACTCATGTCCTTCTGCAGTGGCAGCTTGTAGCTAGACCAATACCACGAGGCATCTAAAATGACATTAGAAGCCTATGTTTAGACATCTGAATCCTAACTGAGTTTCACATACGCATCTTGGATAAAATACAAGAAATTATAGAGGATAAGAAAGTAGAGAATTAAAGCAAACAAAAACCTGGAAAGACATACCTGCGAATGAATAATACTACAAGATGGTTGATCCGCATTCAGCTGTTCTGGAGTTTTGCAACCAGGAATAAACAGCAGCATATTTGAGGTATCTGCTATTTTCATGTCGTAAGTTTTATCTTTGCTGCACAAGACTGCTTGTTCATCTTTTTCACCACGGATTACTAGGCTGGAAAAAAAAAATAGCACAAAAATAGAGATGTATTTTTACCTCTATTTCATAATGAACATCTATTAAACTCATCTGATATTTTTGCACATTTATACATTGGTAAAGAAGTTATAAACTGCAGTTCTATAGCAGTTCTGTAGCAGCAGTCACGGAATACCAAAATACAAAGACGTAATTGTGAAATAATCTAAAATATCTTAACACTATGTTTTTTTTCCTCTCCTTTTTGAGTTTTCCCACTCTGAAAGACAAGCATTCAAGGTTTTTATGCAGATCACAGTCAAACCACCTCACTTGCCTATTCACACACTCCCCCCTAAAACACTGATTAAGTGATGATTAAGGCCTGAACCAGATCACTAATATTAGAAATTAAGATTACAGCTAGAGTTGGTATTTAACGAGGACTGAAACTGGCCCATTGTGAAACAAGAAAGCAAACAGAAATTGTGTCTATTGTGCAGCACCCTTAGATAATTCCCTCCCCAAAACATACACATTTTCTTGCAAGTAATTCCAAGCAGAAAAGCAAGCCATCTTCTAGAGCATATCAGGACAAAGAATCAATGCAAACCCCCCTTTTAAACTCACATACTTGATTACATAGAGATTCTTAGTGAGGACGTGATAATACCAAAGCAGGACCGCAACAGGGGAACATTTAGTTCCTCCCAGGCTACGCTAAATTAAGTGCTCAGATTCAATTTAATCCTCTTGCTTCCAAAAGCGTGCATGCATGAACAAAGCTCAGCTGTGCTCCAGGTGGTCCTCAGCATGACTCAGGCCTCTAACCAATGACACTTAATGATATTCCACCGATTATGGACAGGCTTAATAACATACATCTCTGAGGACTATTTTTCTTTAGAAGGAGTTCTAACATTGTATAATTTTGAACATTTTTATTATGTTATGTCACTGGCATTGCATTTTATCAAAAACCTATCATCTAGAATGTGTTCTTGGTCCTGAGTTATAAGACATCACATAACCATCCTACCAAATGCCTATGATAATGCTGTATGTCTTTCGCTTTCTTAACTCATACGCACCCTGCCATCCACCCGACCGTAACAGCAGGAAAATCTCAAAGTCAGTGGAATTGTTTTAAAGACATACTGTCTTTTCCTAAACCCAAATTGTTAGGCATCTATCTCCATATGCCTGGCAAGAAACTCTCCTCAGTTTTTGCTACAAGTCTCCTCAGAAGCAATTTTTCCATATGCAAAAAAAAAAGAAAAAGAGAGAGAACAGTCACCAATACACAGCCTACAGAAGTGGGAAACTTTAATAATAAAATTGCTACTCGATGGAATAAGCTAGCAGATTGAATAGTCTGGGAGCAGGACCCACAATTGCTTTCTGGCCTTGTCACCGACTCACACTGCAGCGATACACAAACTATCCCCACATCCCATCTCCTTTTTTAACGCACACAACAAATATTTTACTGAAATAATCTAAAAGTGTTACAAATACCCATCAAAAAATGACGGTTATGTTTGCTTTGTCCAGCTTCCTATAGGTGTTCCTAGTTTATATTTCGAATTTAACTGAGTCAAGTTTAAGGGACAAGTCATGCAAACTGGATTAGAAGAATAAAAATCTGCAAAAAGCCACGTTTAAAAGCCATATCAGCCACTTAACACTAAAGATGGGACAGAGCGACCCTGCCTCATCTCCATCTCCGACTCCCTCACTCACGGTTGGGCGACTTG